TGATAAACTATTTCAATTAGAATTTTTATAACAATTTTAATATTAATCAAAATTGTTTGTTGAGATAATACAATTAGCACTTCTATATCAGAATAATACAAATTAAAGTCTGTATCAGTATTATAAGTTTTATAATAAAAAATACAAAAATAAATGAATTTAGTAAAACAGTAAAAGAAAAAATAAAACAAAAAGTATATAAAAATATGATTATTATTTAGATATTATAATTTAGATATTAAAAAGATAATAATATATATTAAATATAATTATGTAATAAGATACAATATAAAAATAAAGAAGCAAATTAATTTGATTATTATTGAGTTATATAATATTATATTAATTTTCTTTATAATACATTTTAATTTTTGTTGATAAAAAATTAAGAAATTATAAAATTTTTGATAGAAATGGTAATAGTACTTATCAAGTATTTTAGTTTGTTATAATTCTTTTAATTTATCACTTTATTTATCTATCTTTTAATTAGTGTAAAATTTAAGTATAAATTGATATTTGAAGTTATATTCATCATAAACAAGATTTTTCTAGTTGTTTAAAATAAGAACATTATTTCTGGCTCTCTCATTAAACCAAATAGTAACAGAATTTTCCAAATATCTACAAATAATTTGAATTTTATTAATAGAATCTTGATTTCTATTACAAAATTTCTTGATAAGTATAATAATTTTCTTAATTGCTTTATTATTTTGAGCTGTTAATACTATTTTAAGTCTATTAATAACTGCTAAAACTATACCAATATTTGCTATTTCTTGAAATAATTCTAGAAGATAAAGTTCAAAATTAAAGTTATAATTTGCAATAGAAACTTGTTGTTGGACTTCTTTTTGTTGATTATTTAGTAATTTCTCAGTATTTTTGTTAATTTTTGAATAATTTCTGTTAGAGAAATTTGAGACTTCTTTGAATTCTTAATTATAAATATAATTTGTTACAAGTTAAATAAGTTGTAATTGTTTAGGAATTGTATTTTTGTTTTAATATAATATGATATTGATAAATCTAATAATGCTTCTACAAAGTTCTTTTGATAATAAAATTAAGTAAATATTTAAAATACAATTTCAGTAGTGTATAATCCAGAAATTGCTTCAAAAATTTGAATTCAATTAACAAAATTAGCTAATTTGTTAGAAATATTATTAGAAAAGATAAAATACAAGTAATAATAATATTCATGATTTATTTTTAGAAGGTGTTGTCTTTTTTGTTTAAATTTGTAAGCATAAAAATAATTTTTAGTAGATTGTTTAATAAAAGTATAAAGAGTATTTATATAATAATAAAATTAAGTAAATTAAATAAAATAATATTGTGAAAGTAAAAAAAATATATATTTATAGAGAGAACACCAAAATATTTTCATTAATTCAAAAATTGTTAAAATTAATAAACTAACAAAGTTATATAATAATAAAAGAACAAAAATTAAATGAATTATAATTAATATAGTCACTAAAGATTCTAAAGATCTTTTGTAGTAACTTGTATATAAATTAACTAATTTTTATCAATAAAAAATAAAAATAGATAGAAAAATAAAGTGAAAATACAAAAAAAAATTAAAGAAATTAACAAATAGTTTCAAAATAAATAACAGGACTTATTAATAATGTCTAACAAAATAAAATAATAATTGGACTTATTGAAAGTACCAATTATGAAATATAAACAAAAATAACTAAAAATAATTAAATAAAACTTATTGATATAACCTAAAAATAATAAAACTAAAATAAACAAAGTAATAATATCAACAACTTATTTAGAGTAAAAAAATATCCACTATTTGTAATTTCAAGATTTGAAAATAATTCATAAAAATAATAATATATTTACAAGTAAAATATTACTAGTAAGAACTTTGTTAATTATTAAATAAAAGAATTAGAGCATGAGAATTTCCAATAAGAGACTCTTCTTTTATATATTTTATATAATTTATATAATTAATGATTATTCTAAATTATATTATGATTTACAAATAATATTAATAATACAAAAAAAGTATAAATACTGAAAAATAAATAAAAAATTATACAAATTTATTAACAAGAAAATACAAAAGAAAATTTTAGTGATTAAAAATAAAAAAAAGTGTTTGAATAAAAAAAGTGTTATAAAAAAGAAAATAATAGTATAAATATAATGTTATTATTCTCATTAAAAATTTTGTAATTACTTAATTATTGATCAACAAAAATTAAAATATATTACAAAAAAATTAATATAATATTATGTAACTCAATGATAATTAAATTAATTTGTCTTTTTATTTTTATATTATATCTTATTATATAATTATATTTAGTATATATTATTATTTTTTTGATATCTAAATTATAATACCTAAATAATAATTACATTTTTGTATACTTTTTGTTTTATTTTCTTTTACTATTTTACTAAATTTATTTATTTTTGTATTTTTCATTATAAAACTTATATTTTTATTATTGATTTATCTCAATTATACTCTTATTATATTTATTTTTATCTTTTATTTCATTATTTTTAACTAATTATTCTTAATTAATAAAATAATCTGTAATAACTCTCAAGCAAAATATATATATTTTACTTAAAAAAAGATATTAATAACTTGTTTGTGAAAAATTAATGATTATTATATATTATAAATATAATTATAATATCTAATTTATAACTAAAAAATTTGATATTTAAATAAAACATCTTCAAATAATAATATCTTATATTTATTAACTTAATCAAGTAAAAAATATTAAGAATTAAAAAGCACGTTAGTTTAATGAATTAAAGATTTATGTTATAATTTAAAAATCATAATTTAATATATAATTCAAGCAAAAGCATAAATTATAAAATACAAATCTGAATTTTAAAACTTATATTCTAATATATTTAACATGCTATTTTTAGTTAAAAATATGTTAATAAGTTTTTAACCTATTATAATTTGACAAATCAATATTGAATAACTATTATATAATATCTTTCAGATAATTATATTAAAAAATATTAAGATTTTTTCAGTTTTGTTCTCTTTTATTACCAATAATATAATTATTCATTCAAATTAATAAAAATATAAATGAAATATTAATTATATTTAATATATTAACCAATATAATTATTAATAAATATAATATTAAAATAATTTTATTGTTTTTATAGATTATAAAAAAATTAATTTTATAGTTTTGTTGACTTGTTTTGCAAATAAAACAAAATTATTTTTAGTCATTATTTTAAATTAATCAATATAATAACAATTTCTTGATGATATAATTATTTGTGCAAATTTGAATAGTTGGATAAATAAAAATAAAATATTATATAATGTATAAAATCTAAAATTATCAAATATTTGTATTTTGTGAAATATATAAACTTTTTTGTTAAAAAGTAAATACAAAATTTAATCCATAAATATGCTTAGAAAAGATTTATTTTATTATATTTATAAATTAAATTTTGTATTTATTTCTTAATAAAAAAGTTTATATATTTTATAAAATATAAATATTTAATAATTTTAGATTTTATATACTATAGTGAATTAAATATATTTAATTTAAACATGCACAAAATAATAATTCATAATTATTTTTAGTTTAGAATTTTATAAAATAATATTTTAAAGAAAAAAATGAGTATAATAGTAATTTCTAGAGAATTGAATTTATAACTGTAATCATTAAATATAACTCTTAACAAATTTTTTTTAAGTTAAGATATTGTAATCAAATTTATAATTATTTTGAATTTTTTAATAATTTTTTTATATAGATTTATTATATTTATAATAAATAAATAACAAACAAAATTAAAAAATATATTTCTTTTGACAAAATCAAATAATTATTTTATTTAATAGTTACTGGATGAATAAAAAACTTGGGATAAAATTGAAATTTCATTAATTCAAAAATCGTTCAAGTATTGTGATATTTCAAATGATATAAATGGATCTAAGAAAAGATTACTTTTGGATTGTTTACATGTATAATTTAATAATATTATCAAGTTTATTAAAATTTATTTTTAAAAGAAGAATGAGAAAAATAATTCATCTTTTAAACTAGAAGATGATTGTAATATTAACAAAAGTAATAATAAAAGTTATTATGAAAATAAAATAATATATATTAATGATTGAAAGGATTAAATATGTATTTGATATAAATTTTTGAATAATATTAATATTAAAATAACAAATATATATTTATTTTATAAAGTATTTAGATCTTATTTAAAACATGTCCAATTATAATTTGAATAATATTCAGATACTTTACAATTTCTGATTTTGTGTAATGTATCCAGTTCTTAATTATGGGGAATTATTATATGTTGGAAATATTGTAGATAGTGCTTTATAGTAATTATTAATATCTTATCATTTAATATTAATCATGTTTACAATTAATTATTAACTATATCTATTGATAATCAATTGTCAACTATATTTATTAACAATCAATTATTACCTAAGAGAATGTCTACCAAACCCCTCCAGAAATATTTTGGTAGAGTTTACTAGAAATTACAAAGTGAATAATATGAAAAAATACCAAAATTAAAGAATCTGTGAGTGATCAGCAAAAAAATCAGAATTAACAACTGGTACTTTACAATAATAACAATAAGTCTGAAATAATCTGACAAACTCACCAACTAAATCATAACTAACTAACTAAATCAAAAAATACAAGCTAAATAACATGATAAAATACAAATCGATAAAATTCACATAAATCACCTGAGAATAACTGGATCTGTAAAAGAAAACCAAAATTAGAAACTAAAGACACAGAACATTTGGTGTCAACTGAAATTCATCTGATTATGATCATTTTCCGGCAATAATAACAAAGTAACTGTACATTTGGAAAAGAACAATATTATTATTACAATAATAATACGACCGTGCAATCACATGATCAATCAAGCCAATCAAATTTAATGATCAGCAACCAATCAAGTTCATGGATATTCGCAAAACTGTTGAAGTTAATGTTGAATTCACCAAAATGAGTTTTAAAGTAAAGAAAGAATATAAACTTGAGGATGGTAGCCTAATCTTAGAACGTATACGAGAATATTTTAATGTGCCTTTAACCGCAACTCCAACAAAACTACCTCTAAATCATAGTGATTCTCTTTACGTTGATGTCGCCGCCTATTTTAAACAGCAATTGGAGAATGTTAGTTGTAGAATCACCACGATTGCTATTCTTCGAAACCGAGAAGTTTGGGAAAGGTAAATGAATTTTTCCAAGATATTAATTCTTGTGTGCAGAAAATTAAGCTTTATTTTCTTTCATGTTTAGATATCAACAATTTAAAAACTTGAAAAAGCAAATGGAGGCAGAGGCTAGAAGTGCCTCAACTTCAGACTATACAAGCTGTTTCAATGACACAGTCTTATTTCATGGTACCCATCCTGATAATGTTCATTCTATACTCGAGCATGGTTTGGTAAGTCATAGCTCAGCTACGGTAATCTTGTTTAATTTTGTATTGAACTAAATTAGACTGTTAAACCTTTAAATTAAAACAATTTCAAATTGTAAAAAAATAGGATAGTCGATTATCTAGACAATTTGGCAATTGTGGCCCTGCAATATACTTATCGCCGAGTTTTGAAAAGTGTGATCTTTTTGCAAGTCGCCACAATAATGTAGAAAGATGTTTGATAGTGTGTGTAACTGCACTCGGTAAAATATATGACAATACAAAATTTAAAGCAGTTGATCCACATACAAAATTTCCGCCAAAAGGATACGACAGTGTTAAGCATTATGTTGCAGTTGCTGATGAATATGTTGTTTATGAAAACGTCCAAGTGTTACCTATATTGGTAATCAATTATGAGCGAGAGAACAAAACCGTTAGTATATTATGCATTATCTATTAATTGTCGAGTTTATCTTGTTAAAACGTGTAATTTGATTTTATCTATTTGACTTTTTAGTTTCCAGATTTTACTTCTCGTATTTCAACTTCAGGATTAGTCTTAGGATATACACCTCATCCTCCAGGCTTTCCAAATATGATGTTGAATAATCCATTTCCGGTTCCTGGTTTTGCAAACTTACCTGTGAATAATCCATTTCCTATTATAAATAATCCATCAAACACGACAGTGAATAATTCATTCCCAATTCTAAACAATCAGCCAAATGTACCTATGAATAATTCATTCTCAATTCTGAATAATCAAACAAATGTTTCATCACCGTCTTCCGGAAGTTCCGGTAGTTTACTCTTTGGATTACAGGTAGCTGAGAATTATAAAGAAAATTTTTTCTTTGGTAACTTGCTCTATTGTTTATAATTATTAAAATCTTATAAATTTTTAGTCGGCCAAAACTTTCCTAACTCATTCAACCCCAAGTCATCACCCATTAAATTCAAGTATTAATTCATTAACATACTCTAATTTTAATACTGGAAGTCTTCAATTCCCAAAAGGATTGTCTCCTCTATTTGTTGCGCATTCGTCAGCTTTGCCTCCGTCTAGCAACTCGCCTGCTGATTACACTATGCGTAAAGCTCGTGCGACATTGCAGCAATGGATTGCTAAAATAAACTTGACGAATGGAAGCTCGAATTTTTCGGGTGCACAACTTGCAGACAAACAGTATTGGCCTAATGCATCAAAATCAAGGTTTCCAAATTTGGCATCATATTTAGATTGGGTAATGTCAACAAAAGGAGGATCTACAAGAGAACTTGATTTTGATCTAGTGGAAATGTTAAGAAAATTGGATAGTTGTGAAGGAATTGTTTATGCTAGACGTCATCATGTCGAATCAACGCGTGCTGTTAATTGGCACGAAGCATTGATACTTGCAAGCGATCAAAGACTTCAAGAAGCATACTCAACTCATGAAGGATGCACAATATGCGCTGATTCAATACTTACCAACCTCACCCAAGTTTCAGACATTACACAAATGAAAAATTGTCCTCATGTTTTCCACAAATCATGTATCGAGGCATGGCTAAGTATGCCATCATCCCCAAGAGCATGTCCTAATTGTAAAACTCCCTGTCACGACCCTTTCGCGGCTCCAACTGTTGGACCAATGCCAGATGGAGATATGGCATATATATTTAATGAAATTTTGGGGGCCTGGTTTATTTGTTATGGAATACCAAATGCTACTCAGGTTTCATGCCATCCTTCTCCTGGTATGCCATTCAAAGGTACCACACGAATTGCAGTATGTCCTATATATTTAAAATGGGGCCCTTTATTATTCATTCGATTGGTGGCTGCATTTTATTATCATCACACGTTTACAGTAGGAACATCGCTCACTACTAATTGCGCTGACTCTACCACTTGGAACGGGATCCATCATAAGACCATGACTGATGGTCCGTTTGGATTCCCAGATCCAACATATGAAGATCGCGTTTCTCTTGAATTGGACGCCAAAGGCATCATGTTATTCTTGAGGGATTTAGTTCAGCAGTAATAAAATTACTCAAAGGAAATCTATCTAATTCCTATAGCAACAGTGAAATATGAAATTTGAATAATATATTCGCATGAACATTCTGAATTTACAAAGTTTGAGCTTGTATTATTTGCAATTAATAATAATAATAAATTTTCTTCGTATGCATAAAAGCATGCAATCAATAATTATTTCACATATTCCATTTAATTTATTTGTAACAATGTTCTCTATGAAGTCGTGAAATCAAGTTGTGCGCATATGTGTACCAATAACAATAAGAGACTCCATTTTTCACCTAAACTAAATATCGACATTTTGGAAAATTTACTAAAATTTACTGCTTTCGACGCTTTTTTCATTTTCATCATCTTCGAACCGGTCATTATTAGCGTTTCTTAAATTCATTCATTTCAGCTTGAACGCATTCACTCCCTCAAGGACCTGTTCCTTCTTTTTTTCATCCACGTCTTTATACAATTTATATAGTAAAAGCATCTCAACATGGCACATGTTAGTTTTTATGTTTAATTTGTTAAAGCCTCTCATCTAAATAGATTCACTTCTGAACTGTATAATTTTTTTAACTTCTATTTATTTAGAGACTAGGAGGTCGTAGAAAGAACGTAAAAAAAGGATTCCAATTTACTTTGATGGTAGTTGGTAAGTATCGTGCTTTTTACTCTAACAGCAATTTTTAAAGCAAAGACTTTTGGTCAAGAAAAAAATTCTTGCATAGATTTCGATTTCGCTTTAAATTAATAATATAATTTTTTAAATAGGCGCGTCTGGCACCGGTCGTACCACTTTTGTTAACACACTTTGCTGCTCCGAAGTTTTACCTAAGAAAGTTTGCGATAATCCGGAAAATGCACACGTTGAAGAAGGAATTCGTATAAAACCAGTTACAGTCGGTAGGCTCAAGCTTCATAGATTTTCTGGGGATATTTAAAACATTAATAAACAATATTATCTCGATAATATTTCAGAGCTTGATGAAGATGGTGTCCGCATCGCTTTAACGATTGTAGATACTCCTGGGTTTGGGGATAATATTGATAATGAATTTTGGTATTTATATTTTGTGCTTTTCTATTTTGAAATCAAAATTCAGAATTAATTTTATTTGTGGTTAAAAGTTTTCAGGAAATAATGGGTTACTTAGAAAGACAATATGACGATATTCTTGCTGAGGAATCTAGAATTAAACGTAATCCACGGTTCAGAGATAACAGAGTTCATGCACTTCTTTATTTTATTACGGCTACTGGGCATTCGTAAGAATTGAATTTAATATACAGTTAAAGTGCTCTATAACGGATTTGTATATAACGAATATTTTCGCGGTACAAATATATACAATCAGCCTTCTGATATCCGAATATTTTTATATGCCGAAGGCATTTGGTCGGCCCATGGACTTCGTTATAAAGCACCTTGACTGTATACTTATATATATAATATATAGTTATGTAATTTTTTTGTCAATTATGAAATAAGTCCCCCTAATAATTTTAATTTAATTAATATAGTTTGCGTGAAATTGACATCGAGCTGATGAAGCGATTAAGCCCACGGGTTAATGTCATTCCAGTTATTGGAAAAGCTGACACATTGACTCCAACTGAGCTTGGTGAATTCAAAAAAAGGGTGAGTTCTATAAATCTTTTACTTGGTGTTTTTTTATTATATTAAATCCATAAATTTTTTGTTAGATTATGGAGGATATTGAATATTACAATATTCCTATTTATAATTTTCCATTTGATGTCGAAGAAGATGACGAAGAAACCGTGGAAGAAAATAGTGAACTTCGGGTACTTTTCTTTTTATGTTAGCTTAGTGTGCAAGTTTGTCGTTTGTTTATTTTTCTTTCTATATTATTTTTAGGCTCTTTTGCCGTTTGCAATCATCGGCAGCGAAGAAGAAATAAATGTCAATGGTAGATCGGTTCGTGGGCGTCAATATCCATGGGGTGTGGTTGAAGGTTTGTTGGTTTTTTATATCAGAATATTTTAGTTTCCAAACTCAATTTTAAATTCTTTCATTTTTTTTTAGTTGATAACCCTCAACATTCTGACTTTGCTAGATTAAGATCCGCTCTATTGAGGTAAAATAAGAAAAAAATGTAAATTTTTATATAACATTCAAATACTAAACTTGATTATTTTTTTTAGCTCTCATTTGCAGGACTTGAAAGAAATCACTCATGATTTCTTGTATGAGAATTATCGTACAGAAAAACTTAGTCGGGGTGTTGACAATACTCCTGAGTAAGAAAATTTACCATTTTTTTATGACTCGTTATAAAATTGATGTATATAAATCTAAAATAATAATTTGTTTTATAGAGAAACTAATATTCTACCTGAGGATCTTGCAACACAAAGTGTAAGGTTGAAGGAAGAACAATTGAAGAGAGAGGAAGAAAAAGTATTTATTTCATTTGTTATTTCTTGCATTTTAATTTTCTAGCTCAATAATATTTAACCATTTAATCATTTTTTTTATTTTATTATTATTTTTATAATATAGTTGCGAGAAATAGAACTAAAAGTACAAAAAGAAATTACCGAGAAAAGACAAGAGCTTTTAGCCAAAGAAGAAGCTTTGAGAAATCTCGAGGCGCGCCTTGCACAAGCTCAAGAAAATCCATAATTTATTCATTGCTAGAAGCAATTACTATCGTTTTCTTAGAATATAATTATTTATTTACTATATTTTAATTAATTTATTTATTGAACGTTGGTTGGATGGGAAGATTAGACTTCATATACATATTAATATTATATAATATAATATATAATATATACACAATTAATACATTTCAATTAATTATTTTCTTTTGGTCTTGTATAATTTATCCGTAATTTAAAATATTTTTATTAGTATTATTGAATTTTAGAAACAATAAACAATAACCTATTGTAGAATAAACATTACTGGCTTGTGTTTGCGTTTCACATTGATTTTGCGACTTGGTTGTTCGATCAGCCACAAGATCGACAAAATCTGCAATTCACCATTTTCTCTAGAAAATGGAGCATAGCGATAACAGACAAACTCTAAATATGGGGAGCGGTTAAGCGTTGCGAGTCATGTGATCTGACACGGGATAATTGGTTGACCCACTTCGAAAGAAATCAGGTGTTAAAGTGTCTTTAAGATCTGCAAAGTGTACAGCAAAACAATAATAATGAAAGTGAAAACTGTTTTCTTGTAATTTTGATAATAATGGATCTTTCAGACAAAAATCCAAGTTTTTATTTATTATCTTACTATTTTTTATGATATTTATTATTATATTTGTTTACAAATTATATTATTATGATATGAATTTTAATATATCACATGATTTCTCATAGTTTATTTTGATTGGATAATTGATTTACATGTGATTTGTAAATCATATCCATATTTATTTCATATTATTCATATTTTACTCATATCGATATTATTTCATTCTATTTTTATTATATTTCATATTATTTCATTTTTATTTTATATTATTTCATTCTATTTACATTATATTTCATTCTATTTTTATATTATTTCATACTATTTTATTTTATTTATATATTATTTCATTCTACATTAATTATAATTTATACCAATTATATTTAATTCATATTATTATTATTAGTATGAAAAATATGTGTTAATTGATTTACATAATCTAATTTGATTGATATTAATAGTAAAATTTATGTAATGTTAAAATGAGCAATATACAAATATCAAGTAAGTGAACAATGTATAAACATCAAGTGAGTGCTTTTTGTAATCATAATATTAATTAAAAATAGCTTTAAACTTTGAAGGTTAAGTAACAATAACTTATATAAATATAACATGTATCTTAACTTAGAAAAATAATCTTTTTATTTACTTTTAATCTTCTAATTCACTTTGAATCATTTATTACTTTTAATCTTTTGACAAAATTTTCTTAGAAGTAAGTCATATTATAAGTCTTGAGTTAGAGTTTTTTAGTCAAGTATTAATTACTTTTTTCCTTTCTTATTTGTATTCTTTTATTTTTAAAAGATCTCTTGTTTATAACAAGTGATGTTTTCTATTTAACATAATTAATTTTTTATCATTACACTGCAAAGTTAATTAATATTATTTAGAAATTTAATAAAAAAAGAAGATAATTTTATTAAAAAGTTAATCAATAAAAGAAGATTAAATAATAATAAATCATTTAAATTAAAAAGAAGATTTCTAAACTCATTCTAGCAATTTAACAAAATGAATACATTATTATTTATCTTTAATAAATTAGTTTCTCCCAACTTTAAACACTTAAAACATATCATTATAATTCAAATATTCTATAACATAATTATTTATTAATATTTAATTACTTTTATTATATTTAATATTTTAATAATTTAAATTTATTTAAATTAATTATTTATTATTTATTATTTAATTATTTATTTCTATTGGATGAAATTGAAATCATGTGACTTTTTCTATGTGATTTGAACATATGATAATATTTTGTAACATGTTATAATATTTTGTAATATAAAATAAAAAGATAAAAATAAGTATGATAAAGATATAGATGAAATAAACCAATAATAAAAATATAAGTTTTATAGTAAAAAATACAAAAATAAATGAATTTAGTGCTATAGTAAAACAAAAAGTGTACAAAAATATGATTATTATTTAGGTATTATTACTGTTTCTAGTTCTTACATATGAGAATATTTAGAAATGGTTAACAGTGACTGTGTTCACGACAGATTTTAAATAAGAAAGATATAAATAATGAAAGTGAATAATTAACAATAATGAACTAATAAGAATATAAGTATAAGATAAATATTTAAATGTGTTTGAATAATAATAAGACAATACTAAAACTGAATATACGTTATAAATCAAAGTTAAAAAGTGTATTGATAAGATAAAAGAAAATATGATGACAAGTGAAAATAACAAAAGTAAAACAAATAAAAGAAAAATAAAACACAAACAAATAAAAATAAAGTAACTAAAAG